GGAAGGCCTCAGGCAGCATGTGCCCTGGGACTCTGATGTTAGAGCCCACACGTCAGCCTCTTAGGTGCGGCTCAGCCCTACCTCCTCTCCAACTCCCATCTCTGGGACTGTTCAATGTCATTTCTTTTCTTTCTTTTCCTTTTTTTCTTTCTGTTTTGATTGAAGCCAGGGATGCTTAACCACAGAGCCACATCCTCAGCCGTTTTTATCTTTCATTTTGAGACAGGGTCTCACTGAGTTGCTTAGGACCTTGAGGCTGGCTTGGAACTTGTGATCCTCCTGCCTCAGCCTCTCCATTGCTGGGATTACAGGTGTGCTCCACCAAGCCCAACTTATATTCAATGTTATTTCAAGCGCAGCTCCTCACTGCTCCACAAACCTGACTCTTGCTTTCCAGAAACCTCCACCAACTCTTTACTGGTCACCTCCCATAGACTGGCCATCACCTGCAGCACCAGGCTGTTACACTATGCAACGGCACCAAGAAGTCCATGGGGATGGTGATAGGACCCCCGCTTATGGGTCAGAAAATAAAGGTGCACAGAAAGTAAGCAGCTGTCAAAATTGCAGTGCCCAGTGAGCTGACGGGTCAGGTTCAGCCCTGGGTTGCCCTACTCCAAAGCAAGCAGCGCTCTTATGTCTGTTCCACCGGGTGCCGTCCTGTTCTCAGCCCTGATGCACACTGGGGTCCAGAAAAGCTGGGGAAAAGCCCTCATGCGGGGCCCCACCCTAGAGGTGTGGATTCAGTTAGTGGGGACTGGAGCCAACCTGGATTGTCTTTAAAAGCTCCTCAGGTGACTAATGTGCAGCCAAGACAGGGAAGCAGCATGCTGGACACTCGGGAATGGCGGGGGCCTCGTCCACATCCTGAAAAGCACTGTGCCTGGCCCATGCTAGAAGTGAAATCTGAGCTTGGATGTCTGAATGTGTGGGTTCCCGTTGGGCTATGAATGGTTCATCTCCCCAGGATTCGTGTGCTGGAAACTTGGTCCTCTGTGTGGCAATGACGGGAAGCAGTGAACCTTTAGGAGGTAGGGCCTAGTGGAAGGTCACTGCTGGTGTTTTCCTTGGAAGGAATTAAGGTTAGGGACCCCTGGAGTAGTTCTCTTGAGAACAAGTTGTTGTAAAAGCCTGACTCTGACCCTGAACCTCTCTCCAGCTTTCAGTCTGTCACGTGGTCTCTCTCCCACATGACTCCCGCCATCGTGATGCATTTGCCACAATGCCTTAACCAGAGTCACGCTGATGCCAGCACTATGCCCTTGCACCTTTTAAACTATAAGCTAAATAAACCTATTTTTTTTAACAATATTAGCCAGCCTCAGATTTTTTGTTACAATAATAAAAAGGGGTATATAAAGCTTCCAGCATCTGGAGGTAGTGCCTGAGGTTACCTTGCTACAGGAGGGGCCGACCAGTCCCTTGACTATACTCTCCCCTCCCTCCAGCCACCTTTCTATTGTGAAACCTCACTTTCAACCTGTGACCCCTTTATGTTCAGAGTTTCCAAGGCTTGTTCAAGGATTAGAGATAAGCTGCAATTCCTTAGTTTGGCATTTGAGACCCCTCAAGACCTGGTCCTAACTTGTCTTTTCAATCACATCTCTCAATACTCAAAAATCCTCTGATCTGGCCGGGATGCCTGCCCCCTGCATGAGTCTGGCACACCACTACCAGTGTGCCTCTGAATGGCATGTCCTGCTCTGTCCTCCAGCTGCCTGGGCCCTCCCCTGTCCTCCAGCTGCCTGGGCCCTCCCCATCCATGAGGACAACTCCTCTGCTCTGCTCTTTACTCACTCCCTGGGGTCCTTTTCAACTCTGAACATCGGGACTCTCAAGCATCTTCCTTGGCTCCCTGGCCTACTTGGCTCAGACGGCTTCTCATTCTCATTTCAGTGTGCACATGTCCTAATTTCCCAACCACACTAAGGTCACTTGAGGGCAGCAACTGCTGGAAGATACTTTTGTCTCCCCCACAGAGACTGCCACTGCATACCCTGAATGCCACTGGGCTTTCTGCACCCGTCTCGGCGCGGACGGTCTTACCTGTAGTATCGGGACTGCAGGTAGGTGGAGCACACAGCCTTGGACACGTGACTGGCTGAACCGAAGTCGATGACCTTGACTCTGTATGGCTGCCGGGATGGATCCACCAGCATGATGTTCTCTGGCTTGAGGTCAGCATGGATAAGACCTAGGCTTTTGAGTTTCATCAGGGCTGTGGCCACCTGCTGGAGGACCGGGCGAATGTACTTGAGGGGCAAGGGGCTAAACTTGTTCTGCTTCAGAAAGTCATAGAGGTTCTGCTCCAACATCTCAAAGACCAAGCACGTGTGGTTCTTGTGCTGGAAGCACTCGTAGGCCCGCACAAAGTTGTAGTCATCGGCGCTCTCCGTGCTCAGCCGGGCCAGGATGCTCACTTCGATCTGACCCTGCCGGGCATAGGACGGGTGGTTCTTCAGAATCTTGATGGCCACAATTTCATTGGTGCCCCGTTTCCAGCATTTGACCACTTGCCCAAACGTCCCCCGGCCCAGGAACTCTAAGACCTCGTAGGTATTAGTCATGGAGCACAGCACTTCATGCTGCACCAGCTGATAATCTCCTTCACTGTTGGAGCCACTGTTTTTGGAGGTGGCAGTGGACGTGGTGGCAGTGGCTACAGTGGCCCCGCTGGCATTGTTCTGAATCATGGGTGGATGCTCTTCGATGATCTGCACGCTGCTTGTGTTCTCAATCTCCTCACTCTTGCGCTTGAGTCCACATTTTTGGTAGGTGTCAAGAAGGCTCACAGTGCTTCGACGCATTAGGTTGTGTGGTCCGCCGAGGACTTGCCCCGTGACAGAAGTGCTACTTGCTGATGTTACGACTATGTGCCCGGTGCTTCCTGGGAAGATGATGGTCTGCTCGTAAGGTAGGCTTGGGTTTGGGATCGGCAAGGAGGTGCTGACGGTCGTGGTGGCTGGCTGAGAAGGCGGGATGTTCTTGCTCTGGTTATACACTTTGCTGTGGGAGCCGTACCCAGTCATGTCCCAGGTGGAACTCGGCTCCACTTTCAGTTTCTTCACACTACAGAAGGCACTTGATTGAAGGGTGTGAGGGGAGAAAACTTGCACATGTGAGGCCATACCTACAAGAAGAAAAAGGAAAGCAAATATTTGAGTCTCCCTTGCATGAGTGAACTCAATACAGTCATCTGGGTTCTGGCTCGAGTCACACAGGATATTGTCCTCCCACTTCCAAACCAGCTTGGAAACGTGAATCTAGGCCACCTGGAAGCACACCCTGGGACCCAGTTTGAGGGATCAAGTGGGTCCAGTGTTCCAACTGCCACCACTAGGAGACACATCTTGACCCACAGTCAAGATGCAGATACAGAATTAGGATACCAGGACTTAGTTCACCATTTATTTCTTACAAATATTATTCGCGACAGACACTTACTTACCTCTTTCTCCACTCTCACCACGTTGCAAACTAGTAAAGCTGAAGACTACATCAAGTGACCCAGGTAACCATCCTGCACCTGGCCCCTGCTCTGACCCTAACAGTCAGATTCACTGCTTTGAGGAAACATGTCCCCACCCAGGCCCCATTGTGGCTCTTCTGGATGAGACATAGTAACCACCTGGCATCTTGGTCAACCTAAATGAATTTTGCAGTACTGCATGGATTGACAGTTGGTTGGGCATCTTCATTGGGCAGAATAAGATGTCCTGTCAGTCTTTTGTGGGGCAGATGGTAGCACGATTCATGGGTTCTATTCACTTACTTTTCCTGCTAAATTCATATATCAATAAATTTATCTACAAAGTACTATGATTTCAAACTAATGTATTCACAATCTGGATAACCTCAGAAATCTTTTAAGACCATTATTCCAGAATAGCTATACAACTTTCAATTATGGTGATATCAGAAAAAAATAAGAATTCATAGGAAATGTATTAAAGAAAAATAATATAGTGGTGAAGAAGGATAAGTTCTTAAAGGTAAAAGTAGAAACAAATACTGCCCATCTTCTAAGTGGTTGTCCATCGACACCTCCTACAGAAGCACAGAAGAGCGGGCATTCTGTCCTGTACCGTTGGAACTGGTCCTGGCCCCTAGCATTACCTAGAGGGGCTGTTCCCTATCTTCCTTTCTGCCCCGCCTCCCGCCCCACTGGTCTGCGATTTCTCAGTAGAGGACCCACCTTCCACTTTGCCCAGAGGCCTGAGGTCAGCCTCACTTCCGCCTTGATTCTCTTGACTTCAGAACATTCCTCAGTCTACATCCATCCTCCATCCTTTCCTTGTCTCCAGTCCCTCGGGAAGACATGTCTCTCCTTTCCGACACTAAAAATGCCCCCTAGTCTCTCAATCCATATTCTCCCACTTTCACTTGAACTCTGCTTCCCCCCCTGTTCTTTCTCAGCAGTTTTCAATTTTTGCTGTTAATTGGTCCCAAGTCCTTAGCAGGCACTGAACAAAGGTTGGCTAAATGAATCAATAGCTTAATCTTTTCCTTCTCTCCTTCCCGTGTGTGGACACACAGACTGCCAGCTTGGAAGAGGAGAGACTAATGCTGCAGGCTGGCCCCTCACCTCTCCTTCTTACCTGTACGTCAGTGGTGCATGCTCCCTTCTCTCAGAGGCTTGCCTCTTATGCCATCTCCCCCAGCACATGCGTGCAGGACAGGCCTGTGTTCTTAAAGGTGAATGACTTCCTAATTGCCCAACCAATGGCTCTTTTTCAGCCCCTATGCTCCTTAACTTCTCTGCAACATCTGATGCTGCTGACCACAACTTCCTTCTTGATGCTCTTATCTGGACTTATGTGAATCTGTAACCTCCTCCTAATATCTAATTGCACATTGTATAGTGAGTGGCTCCTCTTCCTCTTCCTCCTTTAAAATGCTGAAATGTCCAACATTTTGACTCTCTCTGGAAGATATCATCCATTCAAACATTTTAAACTGTCATTTCGATGCAGTCAGCGCCCACATGTTTATCACAGGCTGAGCTCCCCCTCCTATATTCCAGTCATATCTGTTCCTGCTACAACATGAAATATGATCTTCCAAAGCTGAATTTTTCCTAAACACCTACCCATCTCATCCTTCATCCTAATATCTCTATTTCTGTTCATCAAATATTCTTCTGGTCACTTAATTTCCAAACTGTGCAATTACCTTTGATGATTTGTCTTTACTTCCACAGACAAGAAGGTGCCAAGTCTTAATTTCCCCTTCCTTCAAAATGTCCCTTGCACCTAAGTCTTTACTTCTGTTCTTGCTGCCATTTCTAAAGTGGAAGTATTTATTGCTTTCGGTAGCACCGAAGCAAATACAGACATCTGATCTACCTGAGCACTCTTTCTCCCCATAAGATTGACCGTAAGAATTAAAATAAATAAATAAATAAAAAGATTGATTCTAAGATTTATCTTCCTAAAGCATCTCTGAACAACAACAAAATCTCTAAGCATGTCACTCTTCTACTCCTCTATCCAAATGACTTTCAATGACTCCTTGCTATCCAGGGGGTAAAGATGAGGACCAACACTTTTATATTTTGATTCCAACTATCTCACTGGCTTCAGTGTCAACTTGAACCTTCCTGAATGCTCAACACTATCAAGGCTGGTCTGCTCGCTCTTTCTAGAATGCCTCCTGTTCTCCCTCTCTTCACATACTTGCATGCATTCACTGCTTCTCTCAGCTTAGCCAAAGACCAGCCAGTTAGATCCCTCCTATTTCCAGAACACCCCAACCCATGGTGGTCACTACCACTCTCTGTTCTTATAGCACTTAACATATGTACCATCCATTTGACCACGAATCGTGTTTCTGCCTTGTAAAATCACTTCCTTTTGTGCTGCTTGTTTACATATTTAGGTCTTATTTCCAAAACCAGACTACATTTGGGTGGTGAGAGCTATAGTTTATACTTCACACTTCTCTGTGTTTCCCCCAGTGTTAAACCAAGCTTGCTGTATGTGGTGGGCACTAGGTGGCTGGAGTAGAGCTCTCCAAATGGCCAGACACCCAGGAGCACTTAGTTCTCTAGCCATAGATGGTCACACCCATCTATGAAACCTGGCCTGGATCTGAAAATTAGAGAAAAATCTACCAATACTTTCCTACCCAAACCAAGACTTTTAAAATATAAGACAGAGATTAATTAGGTAGTTCCAGTCCCAGAATTGGCAGGGGACTGTGCTGAGTCCACTTTTGATAGATGTGCTCTGACTTCCTCAGGGCAGTTCTGAGCCTCACTTTTACCCTGACCCCACGGATGAGAGGAAGCATTCCCTCTGGTTTGAATTCTGAACTCCACCCCTCACCTGGGTGCTGTGTCTACGCGTCTGCACACATCATTACGCCCAGCAGTTCTGGCTCACCTACCATTCGTACTTGACCTGCTTCTTCCCACGACTCTTCTGATCAAGTCAAGCCCCCCATTCTACAACACAGAAAATGGTTCCGGTCTATTTATCATGTCAACTAGATATCCACACTGTTCTAGATGCTGCATACAATATAGCAATGACAGTTTCTGGGATTTCAGTCACTTGTCCATGGAAAAGGCCAAGCAAAGCCAGCATTTCCTTCTTTCTGTCTCTATCCTTTCCGCGTACTCCCTGATTCTTACTGGGGAAGGGGTATCAGAGGAGGCACAGTCAGAAATATGCTAATCATACATAAAAGCCGTGAGGCACACGAGGCCCTGTTTCCACTGTTTTATAAAGTTCTTGGTAGAAAGGCCAGGGTGAAGAAGTGGAATTTTACAGAAGGGAAGAGGGTGGCTTCTGACTTATTTGTTATTGGGACAACAGCCAGGGGTCATAAAATTGTGGAAATCATCACTGGCTGCCTCTGGTGATGTATGCCCAGGATCAGAGAGGAGACCTGCGTGGCTGGAAAACCACCCTTCACCCTTCACCCTCCACCATGGCCAGCTGCCTCAGACTCTGGCCTGGGCTCACGTGGTCTCTGTGGGGTCAACAGCCACTATTCCAAGAACTGGAAACAATTCACCACACAGATATATTTTTTTTAACCTCTGTTCTACAGCAGAGATCATCTTTTTCTGAGAAGCAACATGTTCTAAGAAGTTGGAGCTAAAGAGAATCTTCAATAATAATAAGTTTCTAAAATCCCTAAAATATTCTATAAGAAATAAAACAGTGACTGGTGGTTTTTTAGCTTAATTTTAAAATAACCTTACGGTCAACAATCAGACTTATTTCCAAACAGTTCTCCTTGAGAATCTTTCTGGTCAAACCCTTCTTATTAGTGGAACACCCAGTGAGTCAAGCCCACAGCTGGTTACCACCCTGTTCAGGGCCCTCAAGTGAGGGACGGGGAAGGGTGAGGGGTGGGCTTCATGTTTTCTGCTCTCCAGGAAGAGCTCCACGTACCCTTCAGGGCCCACTCACCTCCTTATCTGTCCATTTACTTTTCAGAAATGGCAGGGGCTTTATGGATATTTTTGGTTTAATCCTGTGGCAAAATCTCATTTGCTTTTCAAATCATTTCTGTCCTTATTTGGCTCATAGAAGGAAGGTAATTTGCCCCTCTTTGGTGGGGGAACTGGGGAGGCTATTAAGACACAGTCATCAGGATGGGGTTGGGCTCATGGGGAGCCATATGAGGGATCCAGGAAATCACAGTAGAATAAATTTGCAGTAATCACACCTGTTCCCTAGAGGAGTGTGTCAATCCAGATTTCCCCATAAAAGCCTTGGTGGCCTCCCAAGATAACTTGACAAAATGGCCACATCTCTGTTCAACGTGAAAGTACAGCAAGTTACTAGAACCAAGTTACTAGAACTTACCTAGAACTAAGCTTCTACCAAGTAGCATGCCTATACCATAACTCCCTGTCTCCTAAACAGGCTAAAATCATGAATACTCAATATTGCACATGTATAGAGGCCTGCTACGTGTTTAAATTTTACAGATACAAGTTTACATGGATGCCATAGAAATGATCAGTAAAAAGCATTTAAAAACAAATTTATTATGAGACAACTTATATTTCACAATTGTATGTAATAAATTCTTTATTGCATACGACAAATGAAAAGTAGTGCCTATAAAACTGACATGAAAACATATGCTACAGTTAGTGGAATTAAATTGCTTTGTTTGTAAGAAGCCATTCCC